CTCACACACACACACACACTCACTCACTCACACACACATATATACACACACTCTTACACAAACATGCATAGACACAGACACACTCACTCTCTCTCACACACACTCACGCACACACACACTCACACACACACTCACACTCACACACACTCACACACTATAACACACACACACTCTAACACACTCACACTCACACACACACACACACACACTATAACACAAACTCACACACTATAACACACACACACTCTAACACACTCACACTCACACACACACACACACACACTATAACACAAACTCACACACTATAACACACACACACTCTAACACACTCACACTCACACACACACACACACACACTATAACACAAACTCACACACTATAACACACACACACTCTAACACACTCACACTCACACACACACACACACACACTATAACACAAACTCACACACTATAACACACACACACTCTAACACACTCACACTCACACACACACACACACACACTATAACACAAACTCACACACTATAACACACACACACTCTAACACACTCACACTCACACACACACACACACACACTATAACACAAACTCACACACTATAACACACACACACTCTAACACACTCACACTCACACACACACACACACACACACTCTCTCTCACACACTCACTCTCTCTCACACACACTCACGCACACACACACTCACACACACACTCACACACACTCACACACACTATAACACACACACACTCACTCACTCACTCACACACACATATATACACACACTCTTACACAAACATGCATAGACACACACACTCACGCACACACACACACACTCTCACACACACACACTCTCACACACACACACTCTCACACACACACACTCTCACACACACACACTCTCACACACACACACTCTCACACACACACACTCTCACACACACACACTCTCACACACACACACTCTCACACACACACACTCTCACACACACACACTCTCACACACACACACTCTCACACACACACACTCTCACACACACACACTCTCACACACACACACTCTCACACACACACACACTCACACACTATAACACAAACTAGCACACTATAACACACTCACTCACTCACACACACACATATATACACACACACTCTCTTACACAAACATGCATAGACACTAGGGGTGTGCGATATTGACAAAAAATTATATCTCTATTTTATGGGATTTTATCGATAACGATAATTAGACGATATTTTGCTGAGTGTGTTATTGTGCTGGTACCTTAAGGACTGCCAAAGACAGCTGACTCCTAATGTTTTTAATATTCTTCATATTCTGTGAGGTGGTCAGTTCATACTGATAGAAATTAATCTTTTCCAATAAGTTTAAACTGATTTTTGCATTTTATGGGCATTTTAACCTTTATAAAGCCATTTTTTCTAAAAGTGTCCATTATCTTTTGAGTCAAATTCTTACACCCCACACACATACCCCCCCTCACACACACACACACACACACACACACACACACACACACTATAACACACACACTCTCTTACACAAACATGCATAGACACACACTATAACACAAACTCACACACTATAACTCACTCACTCACTCACACACACACGCACACTCACACACACACACGCACACTCACACACACACACGCACACTCACACACACACACGCACACTCACACACACACACGCACACACACACACACACTATAACACACACACACTCACTCACTCACACACACACGCACACTCACACACACACACACACCATAACACACACACTCACACACTATAACACACACACACTCTTACACAAACATGCATAGACACACACACGGCTCATTCTGCATCTCTTGTTTTTATTTAACTTTTTTTTTTATCACTTGTCTGGTTAATGACAATAATTTTCAATCTCATGACTTGTGATGTTTCTGAGGTGTTTTTCTGCTTGCAGTCGTGGCATTAAGCCTGACTGTGTTAATATATTTTATACATAAAGGCAAAGATGAACACCCTTTGATTTGTATTTTGATTAATTAAAAATATGGATAAGTAAGTTTTGTTATTGGGTGTTTTTAAGTCATGACTGACTAGAAATGTTAAGCTGCTGTTAAAGGAGCGTTCAGCCAAACATCATTCTGTCAGATTTACTGACTGACGTTCTTCTGTGGAGCAGAAAAGCAGTGAGGTCCAGTGTTGTTTGGGTGATCTGTCCCTTTAAAAATATCGATAACGTGCTCATAATCTGCTTAAAGGAATGGTTCACCTAAAAAATGAAAATTGTCATCATTTACTCTCCCTCATGTCATTCAAACCTGTATGAGTTTCTTTCTTTTGTTGAACACATTTTGAAGAACCAAACCGTTGTTGGTCCTCTTTGACTTCCATCGCAGGGATAGAAATACAAAGGAAGTCAATGGGGATCATCATCAACTCTTAGATTACCAGCGTTCTTCAAAAAAATCTTCTTTTGTGTTCAGCGTAAGAGAGAAACTCATACAGGTTTGGAACGACGTGCGTAAATGACAAAATTAACAGTTTTGAGTGAACTGTCCCTTTAAATCATGTCGCCCATTATTGTCCAGCACTGCGTTTATTCACTTTATACACAATAAATGAGCTAACATTTAATCATCATCGATGATAGTTAACGTGGGAATGAATATGATTGTCTGTTATGTATTTTGTACGTGCGTGTGTGAGCCGGGAGCGGGCTAATCGTGTCTCGTTCTCTCCTGACAGCTCAGCACCTGCAGCAGCAGACCGGAGAGCGTCTCACGGCTTGTTTCAGTGGATCGAACCCGAGCTTCTCCGAGTCGGGACACCTGAAGGAGCACCGGAGGATCCACACCGGAGAGAAGCCCTACCACTGCAACCAGTGCGACAAGAGCTTCTCCCGGCTGGAGCGGCTCAAGGGCCACCAGAGCATCCACACGGGCGAGAGGCCCTTCCACTGCACGCAGTGCGGCAAGAACTTCTTCCGCTCGGGAGAACTGAAGCGGCACCAGAGGATCCACAGCGGCGAGCCAGCGTGAGCGCCTGGAGAGAGCACAAACACCTGAGAGACGGCAGCCGATCGCCGAGCTTTCCTCTTCGTTTCCTGATAGAAATCAGCAATGCTGTGTGTCGTTTTACATGTGTTTGTTGTCGTAGACCGTCTGAAGCGCTAGCTCTGCACGCCTCGCTCTGATCTGATGCTCCTCACACTCTGTATGTTGTTCAGAAATATATAGTGCAGTGACTCATTAGAACTGTATATTGTACAGGAGCATATTATTACTGTGTGTGCTCTCATTCCTTGTATTTAATGAGTCTCCCTCAAACTGTCTGTGTTTTTTTTTTTTATATATAAACTGAACTGTTTTACTGCCAGCATGAGCAGACGCCACCGAAGCGTTTCTGAACCTCTGGTGTCTCTCGATGCTGGCTGTGTTTTACTAGCTGCCGTAAATCTCGTGTGCGAAACACAGAATAACAGTTATTGTTTCACTGTAACACTTTAACTCATGAAAGACGTTACAGAGTATAGATGTGCTGTAATTCAGCAGCTGTTTGTGATCGGTTTCTGAGCACCAGGTGATTAATATAGTAAACCGAGCTCATGAATCATATTAGATTTACCTTTTAACTTTTTAAAATGAGCTCTTTACATTTGTTATTGTTTTGAATGGTCTTCTATTTTTACTTTATATATGTGTGTATTTAACCACCAGTAGCTTGGAAGGCTTTAATGCCATCAGAAAGGCTTTTTTTATAAGAGCTGTGTGCAGGATTGAATTATAATTGTTTGGGTTCTTCATGTGCATGAATGTTTTCTTCATATGTGTGTCGTCATCCTTAATAAACACTTCACCTCTAATTACAGCCGCACACATGAACATTGAGTTTATTGGCCTTCCGTAACATGTCATCTCCAGACTGCAGCATTAGATCATTAATAAACACTAATGTGCCGTGAGATGAAGCGAGTGATTAAGGGTTGTTTAAAGCCGAACGGAAGGAGTTTTGTTTTGCGCGTCACACGACATATTTTCATATCGGTCACAGTAAGTTACTTGCCCCATTGAGAACGTGAGCTTTTTGCCTATATTTCATGTTTTCATATTTAGAAGTAAGCGCTGCAAAGCACTTCCGCTATTGTGGAAACTGTTCATTTTTACCACATCCGCGTGCGCTTTACGGCACTGATCAGTCGGAAGTCCGGTAACCAGAGAGACGCCTGGATGCACTGCGGCCGGCGGGAGACGGTGAGCGGCGTTTCATTCAAAATTTCTCATAGCTGCATTAAATTGTCCGTTTTATTCGTCACTCACACACACACACTCACACACACACTCTCACACGCACTCTCACACGCACTCTCACACGCACTCTCACACGCACTCTCACACGCACTCTCACACGCACTCTCACACGCACTCTCACACGCACTCTCACACGCACTCTCACACGCACTCTCACACGCACTCTCACACGCACTCTCACACGCACTCTCACACGCACTCTCACACGCACTCTCACACGCACTCTCACACGCACTCTCACACGCACTCTCACACGCACTCTCACACGCACTCTCACACGCACTCTCACACGCACTCTCACACGCACTCTCACACGCACTCTCACACGCACTCTCACACGCACTCTCACACGCACTCTCACACGCACTCTCACACGCACTCTCACACGCACTCTCACACGCACTCTCACACGCACTCTCACACGCACTCTCACACGCACTCTCACACGCACTCTCACACGCACTCTCACACGCACTCTCACACGCACTCTCACACGCACTCTCACACGCACTCTCACACGCACTCTCACACGCACTCTCACACGCACTCTCACACGCACTCTCACACGCACTCTCACACGCACTCTCACACGCACTCTCACACGCACTCTCACACGCACTCTCACACGCACTCTCACACGCACTCTCACACGCACTCTCACACGCACTCTCACACGCACTCTCACACGCACTCTCACACGCACTCTCACACGCACTCTCACACGCACTCTCACACGCACTCTCACACGCACTCTCACACGCACTCTCACACGCACTCTCACACGCACTCTCACACGCACTCTCACACGCACTCTCACACGCACTCTCACACGCACTCTCACACGCACTCTCACACGCACTCTCACACGCACTCTCACACGCACTCTCACACGCACTCTCACACGCACTCTCACACGCACTCTCACACGCACTCTCACACGCACTCTCACACGCACTCTCACACGCACTCTCACACGCACTCTCACACGCACTCTCACACGCACTCTCACACGCACTCTCACACGCACTCTCACACGCACTCTCACACGCACTCTCACACGCACTCTCACACGCACTCTCACACGCACTCTCACACGCACTCTCACACGCACTCTCACACGCACTCTCACACGCACTCTCACACGCACTCTCACACGCACTCTCACACGCACTCTCACACGCACTCTCACACGCACTCTCACACGCACTCTCACACGCACTCTCACACGCACTCTCACACGCACTCTCACACGCACTCTCACACGCACTCTCACACGCACTCTCACACGCACTCTCACACGCACTCTCACACGCACTCTCACACGCACTCTCACACGCACTCTCACACGCACTCTCACACGCACTCTCACACGCACTCTCACACGCACTCTCACACGCACTCTCACACGCACTCTCACACGCACTCTCACACGCACTCTCACACGCACTCTCACACGCACTCTCACACGCACTCTCACACGCACTCTCACACGCACTCTCACACGCACTCTCACACGCACTCTCACACGCACTCTCACACGCACTCTCACACGCACTCTCACACGCACTCTCACACGCACTCTCACACGCACTCTCACACGCACTCTCACACGCACTCTCACACGCACTCTCACACGCACTCTCACACGCACTCTCACACGCACTCTCACACGCACTCTCACACGCACTCTCACACGCACTCTCACACGCACTCTCACACGCACTCTCACACGCACTCTCACACGCACTCTCACACGCACTCTCACACGCACTCTCACACGCACTCTCACACGCACTCTCACACGCACTCTCACACGCACTCTCACACGCACTCTCACACGCACTCTCACACGCACTCTCACACGCACTCTCACACGCACTCTCACACGCACTCTCACACGCACTCTCACACGCACTCTCACACGCACTCTCACACGCACTCTCACACGCACTCTCACACGCACTCTCACACGCACTCTCACACGCACTCTCACACGCACTCTCACACGCACTCTCACACGCACTCTCACACGCACTCTCACACGCACTCTCACACGCACTCTCACACGCACTCTCACACGCACTCTCACACGCACTCTCACACGCACTCTCACACGCACTCTCACACGCACTCTCACACGCACTCTCACACGCACTCTCACACGCACTCTCACACGCACTCTCACACGCACTCTCACACGCACTCTCACACGCACTCTCACACGCACTCTCACACGCACTCTCACACGCACTCTCACACGCACTCTCACACGCACTCTCACACGCACTCTCACACGCACTCTCACACGCACTCTCACACGCACTCTCACACGCACTCTCACACGCACTCTCACACGCACTCTCACACGCACTCTCACACGCACTCTCACACGCACTCTCACACGCACTCTCACACGCACTCTCACACGCACTCTCACACGCACTCTCACACACGCACTCACACACACACTCTCACACGCACTCTCACACACGCACTCACACACACGCACTCACACACACACTCACTCTCACTCACACACGTGCTGTCATTTCATTGAAGTCACCTTTATTTCTACAGCACTTTATACAGTACATATTGTCTCAAAGCAGCTTTATAGTGTTAAAGGGTTAATTCACCCGAAAATGAAAGTCCATGTTTTACTCACCCTCAAGGCATCCTAGGTGTATGACTTTCTTCTTTCAGATGAATCCAATCGGAGTAATATTAAAAATTATCCTCTTCAAGCTCTTCAAAGCTTTATAATAGTATGGGTGGGTGTTTTTTGTTCAATAGTCCGAAAGTAGTCAAATAAAGCGCATCCATCCATATTAAAACGCGCATGGCACGGTTCTGGGTAGGGCTGAACGATTTTGGAAAATCTAATTGCAATTATTATTATTTTTTACCAATATTGCGATTTAATATGCAAATATTTTTTAAAGCTCTTTATGTTCTGTATTATTCAACAAAGACAAGCTATAAATCATTGTATCGTATGACCAACACAATATTAGATAGATTAAGCATAAATGTTCTTTTCTGTAGGCCAGGCCTATATGTTACGATGAATTTGTGATGCATGAATTTATATGAATTACATTTTTATTTAACAACTACAATCACAGTATATTGACTGATTTGTTGAACTTCCAACATTGTAAGCATGATAATTATGTTTAAATAAGCCTGGTGTAAACATTAATATGAAAGTCAGTAACAAATCACACAAACTAAAGTAGATTGCAGAAATATAAAAACAAATCTGTTGCTTTTGTAATAATTATCACAACATAAAGCACTGAGGAATAAGCCTGGTGTAAACATTAACATGAAAGTCAGTAACAAATCACACAAACTAAAGTAGATTGCAGAAATATAAAAACAAATCTGTTGCTTTTCCACACTACTTTAGGTCATTCAAAGTCACTAATAAACATGTAAACATGTGGACTGCACTTGTAACACTCTATTAACTTTAGACAGACTTTAAATAAGAATATATATATTACCTTATTATATATATTATCTTAAGGTTGAAGTCTTCAGTAATGAAATGCACCGTAACACTGTTACTGCTTGAGTAATTTCCATGTGCTGTTTTGAAGTACGTTCATTGCTTTCAAACATTTCCGCGTGTAGCGTGCCAGGGATGCCAGGTTTTCACAACAAAACTAGCCCAATGGCGTTTCGAGGGGGGTCCACCGGTAAAAAGCATTTTCCTGGAGGTAAAATACACGTTTTTTTGGAGGGGTTCCCCATACCGTGGACTTGGCAACACTGTAGTGTGCACACTTGATGCTTCCTCTGAAGACTAGATGCGCTCGACTTGAAGCAGCGCTGCTTAGACCGATGGGTGTGTGTCATCAAAGCACTGCGAGAGCTGTAAGAGCGCGGACGTCTCCTTATGCTTTCTCTCGCCGTACTTTGATGTCATACACCGATCGATCTTCACATCAAACACACCTCTTTACTCTCGTGTGTCACGTGACCGAGTGTAATCGCAGCCTCAAAAATCGCGTTTTTTTCATATCGTGATATCATCGCAAATGCAATTAATCGTTCAGCTCAAAAATTTATATTTTTCTTACAAAAAGCATGGATTCGCTGCAGGAGGCCTTTATTCACCCCCTGGAGCCGTGTGATGCGCGTTTTAATATGGATGCATGCACTTTATTTGACTACTTTTGGACTGTTAAACAAAAACACCCACCCATGCTATTATAAAGCTTGGAAAAGCAAGGATAATTGTTCATATAACTCCAATTGGATTTGTCTGAAAGAAGAAAGTCATATACACCTAGGATGCCTTGAGGGTGAGTAAAACAAGGGCTAATTTTTATTTTTGGATGAACTAACCCTTTAAACAGGAAAACAGTGTTTGAATGATGCAAGCAATCCAGTTCTTCTGTAGAGCAGCTCTAAAAGCAGGACAATAGTAAACAGTCAGTTTTTCAGTTAAAGGGGTCATATGATGCTGCTAAAAAGAACATTATTTGGTGTATTTGGTGTAATGAAATGTGTTTATGGTGATGCGTATCACACCTCACGTGATCAACTGCTTAATCTACTTTTGTGTTTTGGCTGGGGCTAAGCGCTTCTCATATCACAACTGTTCAGTGTTTTCAACCATATAATGATTATTTTAGGTTTTAGGCATTTAAATACATATGTACTAGCAAAAAATACACTTACAGTTTATAAAATAATACACACTGATGTCTATGGAAGCTGCAATAATGATCCTTACAAATATAATTTGAAAATATGTTTTATCGATGTCATATATACATTGTGTCACTAACAACGTTTGCTGTATTCTATTCCCAGTTCACCAGAAACTTGCTTTTAATGTCTTTGAAGAGCAGAGCATGAGTATGTGTTGTAAATCCTACAGCTCAACATGAATTAACATGGCAGCACGGTCATTGCAAAGATGTTTAAACTACCCACTACATTTACTTGCACATATTGGAGAATTGGAATATCAGATATTTCATCATATAGCTAACATGTTTGTGAATATTTTGAATAAAAAGGGAGAAATGAAAGCGTTACATCACTCATGCACATCTATCGTGGCTGCGTTGTCACGTGACATGTCGCCATGGAAACAGGCGATACATTGTAAAATAATGGTCGCTGTCACATGTGAAAGGGTTAAAGTCATTTCATTGCTAGTTCAGTTCAATAACCAAGTAAAAGTTCACCTATAAAGCAGCTCTGGAGAAAACAGTGATGTCATCATCAGCTCAGTTCAGTTCTCTTCCAGTAGTGTCTGTGCAATCAAGCTGATTGGTCTGTTAATCTCTTGCACATGTGAACGTTTAATCTCTGTATAGTTTCCCAGAATGCAATGCAGCAGAGTTCAGTCCTCTAGCTGTTGCAGAGGAGGGGAAGCTGGAGGGAAGCGTCCCGTTAAAGCACCTCATCACCTGCATCCCTGGAGTCACTATCGTAACGGCCCAGAAAGGCTTCAAGATCATCAAGTGGATTCACAACAAACCCCCGCCGCCCAACGCAGGTGTGTGTGTGTGCGTGTGTTCTCTCGCCATCACCACTGCGTAAGTGAAAAAGCCCATGTGTGTTTGTCAGATCCGTGGCTGCAGCGCAGTAAGAGTCCGGTTGGGAACCCACAGCTGATCCAGTTCAGCCGAGAGATGGTGGATCTGATGAAGAACCAGCCGTCCTGTTTGGTGCCCATCACAAAGTTCATTCCAGCGTATCACCACCATTTTGCCAAGCAGTGCCGTGTGTCCGACTACGGATTCTCCAAACTGCTGGAACTGCTGGAGGCCGTTCCTCACGTGCTGCAGGTCTGAACACAAGCACAGCTTTTCATTCAGTTCGCAGTTTTAACATCTGTTTGACATTCTCTGTGATTCCTCAGCCACTTTAAAATATGAATATATGTGTGTGTGTGCGCACAGATCCTGGGTCTAGGCTCCCAAGCGTTTGTTGACGCTGACCCATCGCGCTCAGATCAAACGCTTCACTCAAGACCTGCTGAAGTTGCTGAAGTTTCAGGCCAGTAAACAGGTGGTGATCGGGGACTTCATGCAGGCGTATCACTGGTGAGCATCTCAGTACGGCGTCTCTCTGTGCTGCTGAAGCGTGAGGCATTGCTGCTTCATCCTGATCTGTGTGTGTGTGTGTGTGTGTGTCAGGTGTTTCTCCAGGAACTGGCAGGTGGTGGATTATGGGATGTGTGATCTGATGGACCTGCTGGCTGAGATTCTGAACACGATGATCACAGTCTCTCAGCAGGACGGTGACACGCTCATCTCTGTTCCCAAGAGAGGTGAAGCACTGCTGCAGAGGCTTGAACATTTCCGTGGTTTGTTTGTGTGCTGTATCACACTTGCAATACGCTGCATCTCAAGAGTGTAAAACTCACGGCTGGAATACATTACACAACTTATGAACCGATATTAAAGCACTAGACAACACACTCTTTCTGACCTTATGAATGTTTACAGACGAGAGCTGTGCATCATACGCTAAACAGGCTTTCACAAAAAAAGAGATGTGTTAAAATGAAAACAATGTATTCTAGAATCGGCTCCAAATATCAAGCGTGTCTAACATCGATCTGCAGTATGGAGTCTCTGTCAATCATGCACTACGTGATTTTCTCGGTCAGCTCTGACTGCCCAAAACCTGCAGACTGGCTCTGACTTTTAGTGTCCAGACTGCAGATGGGAGGGAATCTGAGCAAAAGGGGTTTGGTGCATTCCAGCCTTCAGAACAAACCTAACAACGCACTTTGATGAGCTGTGAGATACAGAAAATCAAACCCCTTTCCACAGCGCTGTATAAGTGATGCATCTGTGCTGGAAAACGAATCGCTGTGAACAAAGCTTGAATATCAGAACAGCAGTTTTCAAAACTGAATAAAGGAGAGACAGACTGCAGGAAGATACTTTATTTGCAGAATATTCACGAGCTGATGTCCTGCTTCATTAGATTCAGTTTGTCTAATTATTTCTGATTATCAGGCCTGTTTAAATACCACCACATTTCAAAAGGCAAAGAAATACTAAAACTTCAAACATAGTTTTCATGTTTATGCACATTTATAACTGTTCGTGGTTGTGTTGATCCACTTCTGTATTCATGAACATGTTCCTATTTAAAGAAACAGGGGAACAAAACCCCCAAATGTCAGAATCACTTCATGGGGAATATGTTTTCTAATGTCTAAGATGAAGTATCTGTAAACTGTCAGATGAATCTGTAATACACACTGGATTAAGATGCATGTGTTTTTAAAAACTCATATCAGTGTAATTTAAGGTTTCTGTTTGACGGTGATTCTCTTGTGCTTGTGAACCATTCTTCGTGACTCTTATCATTAGGGTGAAGAAGAAACGAATACTTCTCTCTGAGCTGGGTTTTGTGTTTTGTGTGGATGTTTCGGGCTCCTGAGCGGCCCGCTGGAGTCACTGACATGCTGCAGAATCACAGAGGAGCTGAACGTCTTTCTAATGCTCAGTCAACAAACTTATATTCATCAAATTCAGGTATGATTTGCTTTGGGGAATCTCGTGATCTTCACATGATGACGCACTGAGTGGCTCCGCAGCAGTCCTTAATGAGGGCCGCGCTGCTCTTGCTGATGGAGGGTTTGTTGGCTGGAGGTTCAGTCGTTCTGGGCTTCGGAGCTCCTGCGGAGAGAAACCGAGCGGATCAGCAAACGTCACACGACTCACGTGCTTCATCCCGCCGCTGCGTTGTAACAAAATCATCTCAACTTTCACCCATTTGCCACTGACCTCTCAAAAAAAATCTGTTCATGCTTTGGTTGGCGCTGAGTGAGAGACACGATTCTGTTGAGCTTATGAATGCAATGAGCAATCAGAGGCGTTCAGATGAGCCATGGCTGAAACACCGTGCTTTGTTCTGTGTGCGCTCTGATGAATTCTCTCATCACAAACAACAAAGTGCAGATGTGCTTACGAATGTAAGATATTCATTTCACAGTGTAAACAGATTCAGTGATTATAATGGGAGTTTTTGAGACTTGAAGTCTTGATAATGAAATGATAATGTTCTTTAATAATGTAAATGTTCTTGCCGTCCTTCTGTACAATGAAAGTGTTATAGTAAGTAACTTACAATGTTTTTATTAAATTCACATTGAATACTCAGTCGTAGTAAAAATATTTTAAGGCATGACACTCATATCTGGTACTTAAGTAAAAAGATGGGTTTTTATGCTTTGTTAATAGATTACACTAACATTAGTCTGCTTTGCCCATCGCCCATTATAGATCAACTAACATAATCTATAAAAGTGCATGTACTGACACATATTTGAGAATCGAGATATTTCATCATATAGTTAACACGTTTGGGAATATTTCGAATAAAAAAAGGGAAAATTAAGTAAAACATAAGCCTACTGCTGTGTGTCACATGACAAAAAATAATAAGTAGATCTGTGAAGTCGGTCTTAAAGAGATGGCAGTTTGATAAACTGATTGCTGTCTGTGTCATTAATGTTAAACCACAAAAGACAGAAAATCACTCACTGCTCTCGACTGACTAACTGAATAACTTTAATTGTAAGGTTTTATCTGTATTTATTTATACAGTGAAGACTATCCAGTGTTGTTTTACATTTGATTTCTTCAATTCTGTAGTATTTCTGTACCTGAATATCACTGTTAGACCTGAAAACGTAAAACACTGATTTCATTGTTATCAAATGTAGCTTTGCACACTGCCATCATCTAGAATGATTTTGATCAGTGTTTTAGTGTTCTTAGCAGAGGGCTCTCTTAATATTTTACATTTGATATAAGATTTTGTGGGCTTTACATGTGCACCCCTGAAACCACAGAACCCCCCACATAATGTATGTATGTCTGCACTTTCTTCTGCTGGAAGCTCCTGTCGTCAAGTCAAATTCCTTGTGTGTGTAAACATACTTGGTAATAAAGCTCTTCTGATTCTGATTCTGATAACAAATCCCAATTTAACCCCCGGTTAGAGTCGTGATCGCTGCCGTCACCAGGATGTTTTTCGTCTGAGCTCAAATTTGTTTTGTTTCAACACTTTATTCAGTGTTTACTGTGTGCACTTCATGCTTGTTACCCAGCAACAGCCCAGCGTGACGCTGCGTGCGCCGCCTGTCGTGTCATGAGCGAGCATGGGTCGACAGAAACGTCACAGATCTCTCCCACAATGCAATACTAAATTATGTTTTATTAACAAGGTTCTGGAGGAGCACGATCAGATAATCAACCAGTTCGTCACAGGTGGAGCTTGTTTAGTTAATCCTCTTAACTAGCACAATACGTATACAGTGGTGGCCAAAATTATTAGAACACTAGTATTTTCACCAGCTAAAATTGGTTTTAAGTCAGTTATTTCTATCTTTTGCTGTAGTGTGTCATTAGGAAATATCAGTTTACATTTCCAAACCTTAATCTAATCTAATGAAGGTAGACAGCAACGACCAGCCGGCAGCCGCACAAATCTCCCCAATAGAAATTCCACTGGACAAGGCCTAGGAGGAGGCCATTCCTCTGGTGGAATAGGCCCTCACACCTATAGGGCATTGCAAGCCAGCTGAAGCTGGAAGCGCTGACAGACAGGGCTTGCAAGTCACCTACTCGCTTGACCGATGCTAGGGCCAAGAGCAGAGCGGTTTTGAGCATCATGACCCTTAAGCCGACTGTTTGAAGTGGCTCGGAGGGAGGCCCTCTTGACTACAGATAAGTCCCATGCTGGCACAGTCCTTAGGTGAGGAGGATTCAACCGCCGAGCACCTCTGAGGAACTTAACGACCAGGTCGTTTCTGCCAATTGTCCGGCCAGCCTCGGGGGAATGGTTTGCCGTGATGGCTGCCACATTTGACTTTGAGTGTGGAAGGGGTGCACCCCTTATCCAACAGCTCTTGCAAAAAGGTTAGCATGTGGGACACGTCACATGAAATCGGATCCTGGTTACTTGCTGAACACCAGTCACTGAAGACTGACCACTTGAGGGTGTAGAGACGCCTTGTAGATGGAGCTCTAGCCTCTAGAAAGGTATTAGTGACTCTCGCTGGGAGTTGACCTGACTCCCGTCGAGTGGCCAGGCATGAAGGCTCCACAGTTCCGGCTGGGGATGCCAAATCTTGCCCTGTGCTTGCGAGAGAAGGTCTCTCCTCAGTGGTATTGACCACGGTGCTGCAGGCATCAGCTGGATCATCTCTGGGAAACAGACTTGGTTTGGGGGTCCACGAGGAGGAAAGAGCATTTCGTTTCCCTGACTCGCCTGATAACCTGGGGTAGCAGGGCGATTGCGGAGAAGGCATACAGATAGGTGTTTGGGCCAATCGTGGGAAAGAGCATCACGCTGTCTTGAGAAATAGGTTGGGCAGTGATAGCGATAGGTCGACCTCTGCCTTGCCGAAAACTGACCAAATCATCTGAAACATCTGGGGATGTAGTCTCCATTCCCCTGGAGCTACATTGTCCCTGGACAACATATCTGCTCCCTGGTTCAGTCTGCCTGGCACATGAACCGCTCGTAGTGAGAGGAGTTCTCTCTGTGCCCAAAGCAGGAGACGTCGAGTCATCCTGTGAAGGGGACGTGACCTGAGGCTGGCTTAGTGGTTGATATAGGCCACCACTGTCATGTTGTCCGAGCGGACCAAGACATGGTGTCCCTTTAAGGCTGGCAGGAAGGTTTTCAGGGCCAGACAAACAGCCAGAAACGCTGTCTGGGAGTCAGAAAACTCTTGGCTGAATTGATTTTAAGCCCAAGACACTCTAGGTGGTTGAGCAACAACGACCTGTGAGCGACAAGTTGCCGTTCTGATTCAGCCAGCACTAGCCAGTCGTCGAGGTAGTTCAAAATGCAAATTCCCATCTGTCTCAGACGGGAAAGAGCCATGTCTATGCACTTCGTAAAAGTGCGAGGGGCCAGGGACAGTCCAAACGGAAGGACCATCTACTGATAGGCCACTCCCTCAAAAGCGAATCTCAAGAACGATCTGTGACAGGGCGCTATTTGGATGTGAAAGTAAGCATCTTTCAGATCCACAGACAGAAACCAGTCCTCGGGCATTTTGTGCGAAGATCTGTTTCAAAGTTAGCATTCTGAAAGGCTGTCGCATGAAGGCCCAATTCAGATGTCTGAGATCGAGAATTGGTCTGAGCCTGCCGTCTTTCTTGGGAATTAGGAAGTATCAGCTGTTAAAGCCTGGCTTGCTGTTTGGTAAAGGGACCGTTTCCACGTTATCCTTTGCAAGCACTGTTTGCACTTCGGCTTGGAGAATATGTGCTTCATTGTCCTGCACCAAAGTCTGCATGACACGCAGATCAGGACGGCTTCTGAGTCTCTGGGTCCAGCACTACGTGAGGGTACTTCCTGGCTGTCTGGGGGCGCTGTTGAAGCCCAGGCTCTGGCTTATGCGCGAGCTGAGGCTGCGCCGTCTTTGCAGGCTGCTTAGTCGGGAGAGTCGGGAGAACGGAGCGGGGAG